CCCCAAAACCCCAAAACCCCAAAACCCCAAAACCCCAAAAATTAGATTTATATAGAAGCCCGATATAAATATTTTTTGAAAAATGGATATCAGCCAAAGAACAGAAGGAGGCAACAGATCTATAATCGAATTAGTCAAGGACCAATCAAGACAATGCTTAGAGGTAAGTCCACCAAGTCTAAAGACTTTAGTACCGTAAAGCCATTGAGGATTCAAGGAAGGATATTTCTGAAGAGGCAAAGGCCAAAAAGAAACAACTCAGTGTCATTCAAGACCAAGCTAACAGTATCGGAATTATAAGTTATGAATATAGAACTTGATTTTGAGCAAAAGAAAATTGAAGATGACCTATGCGAGTGCATGTCCAGTTCTATTAGCCTCAAAGCTATCCTGAGATATAAGATTAATGAATTGGAGTTTATAAAGGAAATTCTTATGGAAAAGGGAAGGCTTGAAGGTTTAGATAGCAAATCAAATAACCCGGATGATACTAACTCTCCACTTATGGTATCAGAGCACCAAAATCTTGAAATATTGCAAAATTCTATTGATATTAGCATTAAAAAATTCAAAAGCGTTGCTTTTTCATCTAAAATCGAGACCACCCTCATGAACCCTTCAAAACCCAACAAAAACCCTTCTCCATGAACCACTTGCACTAAAAATCGAGTTAAGAGTCTCCCTGAAAAACTTGAAGGAACATCTAAAATAGCAGAATCCTTACTGGAGAACCAGCTTTCCCAGAAATTATCATTAATCCAATCCCAGTATCAAAAGGCTGCATCAGAGTTAGAGAAAGCTAAGAAAGAAAGGTTGTTCCAGAACACTATTTTCTTCTGGTACGAAGGTATCATTTTCCTTTTCCTCGTGCTAGGAGTTTACTTTGTCTTCAAGAACAACCTCCTGGTTTAGATAAAGATATAGTCAAAGATAATGACATTTTATAGTGCAAAACCAATTTCAATTTTAAAGATATCTCATGGGGTTTTGGGGTTTTGGGGTTTTGGGGTTTTGGGGTTTTGGGGTTTTGGGG